AACACCCCCCCCCCCCCTCCTCTCCCCCCCGTTTATTCAATTAATTACGAGCTAATATTCCTAATGCCAAAATAAGTTTTGCTCTCCTTTCCTTCAAAACTTCATAAGTAATGCGGGCAAAGGAGTGCGATTACATAATAAGCACAGCGGCGACTCGCTGGAGGAGAGCATCGGAGCCGGAAACGTGACGGATCAGCGTCGCTCTACAACGGTGCTTGCTTGTGGCGTGTAAACGTTCTCCTAATGCGCACTACTTGCCTTTAGAGGAGAACTCCCCTCCCACCAAAACCACCACCACCACCACCTCCACCACCACCACCTCCACCACCACCACCGTCACCACCGTCGCCACCATCGCCACCACCACCACCTTCACCCCGTCCCTCCCTATCACCCTTTTCCGCCATTTTCTTTTTCTAAACCGTATATGCTTTTATTGGAAAAGTCGCCGCTCTAGTTTTCGATCAGTTAAGATGAAGATTAGTTGTGTCGCGTTTTTTCTTCTATTTTTCTCCTCTTCCCCCCCCCCCCCCCCCCCCCCCCCCCCCCCCCCGAATTGGTCGATATCCCCCCTACCCCCTCCTCTCACTACCACACCCTCCCGCCCTCCTCTTCTTCACAAAGCCTTCGGGCAAATATAATGCAAATTAGAGCATTTCTTTGTTATTGTTAAGAAAGTGTGCTTTTGCCCTAATACGCACTCCGGAGATTATGATAATAAATATAATTAAAATTTCAAGCAAGGAGCGTAGGAGTAGTGAGACGCACTCATATTTCTACGATCGTGACCTAATTTACAGTCAAACAAATCAATTTTTAATGTGTATGTCCGTTAAAGTTAAAAGTGACTTTAGTAAATTTTATTGGAGCTTGCGCGCGTAACTTTTGCTTCATGCATCTTGTAAGACCTTTATTACAATATCTGAGTAATATATCATGCGAGACTTATTGTTTAACATTGTAATTTGAGAAAAGAAATTGTAGTTGTAAAATTGCTTGCGAGAGCCATCTATTATCTCATTACTTTTTACATTTTAATTAATACTCTTTGCTGAATATTATACATTTTAATAATCTGAGCGATACTTTTACGTGCGCGATTAGTCCTTGTAAAATGAGAATTTTCAAGTATTTCCCTACGTTAAATTGAGGTAAAATCCTAATTTCAATATAAATGATTATATAGATTATATAGAGAAATGTATTGATGCAAAATCTTTTGAAGAAATGAATCTTTGATCGAATGTCTGTCTTGGAAATATTGATTCAGGTGTATTATTATATTAATCGATTGTTTCTAAATCGAACAATAATAATCCTAATAGAGATAATAATCCTTTTTTTTTCTTCTCACCATTTAATCATTCATTTTAAAATTCCTTTGTCATTGTACAATTTTATTACGGCTATGTGTTTATTACTTAGGTGATCGGAAATTTCAGTCACGTACGGAATTGAACTCAATCAATAATCACATATTTATAGACAAATGGCAAAAACATTAATATATTTTTTCATAAGAGTATGTTATAATAAATGACTTTAGACTGTAACATGTTTTTTTTTTCTTTTTGAAATCGTCGAAACGCCAAGTCAAAAATTTTGTAATATACTCTTTGAAAGAATTTAAATTTCATATTTACGATTTTTACACGAATATTTTCATTTATTCGAAACAAGTATTAGAACATATCTTTCAAGAACAATTTAATTAAATATTTTATACGAGCGATTTAATTAAATATCTTCCATTAAAATATGAATTCACGTATTAAATAATCGAGCCTTTCTAATTGAAATAAACATTAATCTAATTTCATAATATAATTTTTGTTTTATTTATAATAATAATAATAATAATAATAATTATTATTATTATTATTATTATTTTTACTGATTTAATTATTTCTTAAATTCATGAAATATTTTTAAATTATTTAATGCACAATCATAATGATTCGAAATTATAAACATCTGTATAGAGAAATACAAAATCTTTAGTATACAAGGGCGGAAGAATCGAAACTTAATATACTTGAGATAAGTGCTTACTTTAAATATATAATGTTTTATGATTTTAATATTCTGTTATAGTTATTTATTTGATTCTAAACGAATGTATTTTTATTATTTGATAGTCTTTAAAAATTTTATATATGATAATAACAAAACAAAGCGAAACAAAAAAAAAACAAAAAAAAAAAACAAAAAAAAAAAAACAGTACCTAAATTATAAGGTAATTTTATTATTATTATAAGGTATTTGATTGGAATAAAATTTAATAAGATAACAATATTATTTGAAGAAAATTAATATTGGATAACGAATGAATGGAAATGAAAAAACGACATCTTCGGATGTCTCCTTAAACAATTGGATTGAAGTTGAATTATTGAAAATAATTAAGATATCTGGAGATAGTCGTCGACCGACAATTAAAACAAGTTTTCAAATGTTTTTTCTCCATCTCCGAGAATATGTGTCAAAACTTTAAAATACTCGTCTTCCAGCATGAATTATTTGCAAATTTACTCTTTTGTCACAACGTATAGGAAAAGAATTTTAACGCGAACGGTAACTCATTAAGATATTCTCGTTTCAATGCGAGTTAAGCCTTTTATCGAGGAACCATCGACAAAGGGAATAGCGACTAGAAACGCGAATGGACTTTTGAACGTAAATTAAAGAAAGAACGAATGAAAAGAAAAATTAACATGTAATAAAACGGCAAACTTTGTGTCTTCGTGCTTGTTTTGTTCTTTAGTAATCGTCAATTAAGATTAATTAATGATTAATAAAATTAATGCTATTAATACAGTTTTTTTTTTTTTATTTTTTTTTTATTTTTTTTTTTTTTTTTCGAATAGTTTCCTACATTATTATAAATTTAATATTACTACACTTGTCGTTATATCGCTACTATTATTAGCAATAGAAATGGCTGGCTCGCATTATATTTGTTGTAAGTGTGTCAAAATAGATTATAATGTTATTTCGGCGACACAATACCTTCTACTTAAATATAAAAATAACCTTAAAACACTACTACGTAGCCCGTATTGTGTCTATAGGTCTCAAGTAGATGAGAGCTACAATTGTTTATTACGATGCCACTGTCGGATATGATGAAAGTATCGTTGGAGCGTTCGAGGAGTCAACGTTTTAGGTCATCGATAGGGTGGTAGAATAGTATTAATAAAATCATATGAGAATCCATCGGGGCGAGCATCACAAACCAACGCTAACTGAAAAATTCAATACGGACATACATAAATCGCTGATAATCGCCATAGATTTCAGGGCCGAATAGTTTTTCAAAGTAATTTTAACGAAATGGACAGATGGATTTTGACAATATTCTAACATTGGCAATTGCACATTTGCCATGCTTTCTTTGCAGGCGCACAATTTTCTCCAGCTAATTTGCGTTTTTACCTTCCCATTTGCCAAAATACCAAATCAAATAACGAAATTTACCCTCGCACAACGATCACGAGGCAAGCGTACGACATTATCTCACAAGTCTTTTTACAGCGGATGATGATCTGAAAGGGACAAGAGTCGTTTGCCCGATTTTACGTATCACATATCGCGTCAAGCGAATTCCTGGGAATAAGAATGCCCGATGCAACTACAACAGCGCCATTTTCAATTCCATCTGTTCATGCAGGTGTTGAAGCAAGCGGCTTTTCAACATACAGAGGCATCTTTAAATAAACAAACGTGTGGTTAGTCGACGATGCGATCAGTTGCAACAGTTTTCTGAATGTGGCAAGGCTTACTCAGTTGGGTTGGTTACTTTCATTACAGCGACTAGATGTACTATGGCGATGGCGAGGGATGTAACTTGCGCGACGAAGCATCAACCGTCAACCTCATCGACATGAGCATTACACAAGCCGTAGGAATGTGGCTCGATTAAAAAAAAAAAAAAAAAAAAAAAAAAAAAAAAAAAAAAATTGTAAACAAACGGATGAAGAAGAAGGTACAATGAGGATATACGTAAATGGCGCTGATAAGCTGCACGTCACACTCGACGTGGAAGTCCATTTTATTAAATGAGAGAAATCTGTTTTGAGAATGTCTCCTAATTGGGTAACGCGTAGCTTACGTAATTATCAGCTTCAAAGGAGATTATAATTGGAGAAACGGAAAATTGTTTTTAATGCGTAAAACTCGTATGCGTAGCATTAGAAAAGCGAAATTAAACTAAGGTCGTAAAATAAATTAATTCTAATTAATACTTTTACATCAATTTGCGCAACAACTTATTATCGTGCTTTCTCGTTACTTTTATTTATTTTTTTTTTTATTTTTTTTTTTATTTTTTTGTTGTTGTTTATTTTTTGTTTTACTCCGAGTGTTGGGCTGTTTGGCTTTTTGGAAAGAAAAAACGATTTTTTATTTAACCATTTTTATGTACGGCCGTTGCTGTAATTCATTTTCTTTTTTTATATTATTGCCATACGTTTGACTTTAAAATGCGAATCCTATTTTATTAGCATTCGTTGGTATGTCGTCAATAAAATTATTTCTTTATTACTTATTCACTCGCGTACACAGAAATATTCGATTGCTTTTTCTTTCAGTTCACGTCTTTATGGTGACGAGTATCTGTCGTGGTACAAGTTTTGCTTTTGCTATCCTTCTTCGCCGTATATTTCCATATTTAGGAATACTTATCGATATAAGCATAAGTAAACATTGAATATAATAAGAAAGTAAATATGTTGACAAATTAAATTAAATGTGGTTTATGAGAAAATATTATATAATATTAAAGAATATATTTACTTTAGTCTATTGTAGAGGAAAATTATTTCAAACCAAACTGAATCTTCGTATGAATAATATGAAATTTAAAAGAAAAAAACAAACCTAAAAATATAGAAATTTTTTTTTTCAAAAAATATCCGACGAAATAATAATAATTTTTCAACATTTATACAATAAAAATATCAAATCGTTTTTTATAATCAAAAGTTAGCAGTAGTAATTTAAATTTTAAATGAAGATATCAAGCTTCATTTATTTCTTTGGGCTTTTCTCTCTTCCTCTCTCTCTCTCTCTCTCTCTCTCTCTCTCTTTCTTTTTTTCAATTTTTCTCTCTCAATTTTTTCATCAAAAGTTAAAAAAACGTCATATAAAAATATATGGATTGCAAAGGCATTTTATTTTCATTTTATTAAATTATTTCAAAATTAATAGTTTTTATTTAAAATCGATTTTAAGTATAAACCAAGCGAATTATATATTCTATTCGGAGTTAGTTTTTATAAATTTGTTTACATTAAATTAAAAATAAAATAAGCTTGAAATATTTCTATATCTTTTAATGAAATTGATTGTATTTAAAAAAATTTTCAAATAAAATTGTTATTACATAATATAATATAGAAAAAATTTAATGTATAGCTTCTATGTATTGAATTGAATTATATTATTAACTTAAATTTTTATTTAGACTTCCTTGTAATAATGATCGTAAATATTTTATCAGATTTATAAATATTTATAATGATTTTTACAAGGAAGTCATCTTGGCGTTCGCATGCGTCACTCTCTTTAGTAATTATGTTTCCGATTTAATTTATATGTACATAAACAAATATCTATCTATCTATTTAATATATATATATATATATATATATATATATATATATATATACACATCTTTTATATATGATTTATTAAAATTATTACATAGATTTACCGATAATCTACTACTTTTTTTTTTTTTTTTTGACAATTTGCTTTAGAATGATTAATATATTGTGGAGGTATTTTTTTGTTTGTTTGTTTTATTTTTAATTACAAATTTAAATCATCATTGACGAGCCAATTAATGAATTTTATGTATGAATCAATTGAAAATATATTTTGAAATAGGTTGTATAATTTTATCAATGTCTAAATTATATATCCGCGTGACAGTTTTAAACTTTTATAAATAATCTAAATTGCAAAATTTCCAGAGCTATTTCCATGATGTTAAAAATTAATTAACAATTGGTTATAATCTGGGAGTGGGACTTCAAATTGAAATAAATTATGAATCACGACGACTACGTTTATAGATATTGACAGAATACGATTATTTAAAGTTTTGGAAAATGAAACTTTTTTAAAATGATACTTCTCCGACATTAATGCGTTTGATTATTTATTTTTCAAAAACTGATACTAGAAAAAAAGAAAAAGAAAAAAAAGAAGATAAATTAAAGATTCCACTTAAATCTTTCGTAATCAGCAATATTTATGGTTGCTATAGCACGGAAGGTCGAACTAAATATCAAAATATTTTTATGACATCTGCGCTGTACGAAGGTATTATCCGAGGACAGTGAAATAAGATTTCACACGAACGGTTGAAACAAATTCACAAAAGAACAAGCAAAAAAAACCCCGAAAAAAAAGAAAGTAATGAAGATGAGAAGGATGTAAGAGCCCTTGATTTAATTAAAGTAAGCGATAATGCCGGCCGAGACGGAGTGTCGCGAGCGTAATAAAAGTCGAAAAATAATAATAAGATGTACGATACCTCATAAAGAGCAGCGAGATGATTGCTGGTTGCGACGAGGAAGGGCTGATTGACGCCGGGATGGTCGAGATCGTGGGTGACGGCGGCGATCAGCGAGGCCATTATTTCTAGATAACTGAGGTGCCTTCTTATCTGGAAATACAGGCAGAAACGAGGAGGAATTGAGGGGAGCTTTGGCGCCTCGTAGTCCGGATGTCCTCCGCAGAGCGAAAAGACAGTGAAATGTAAAATTTATACGGACCTGTCGTTCCTGCAGGAAGCAATGCATCGCTTGCGTGACATCGGCGGCGTGTATACTGTTGTGGTAAGGATTTGTACTGTGGTAGCCTTCTTCGATCAGAGCTGAAAAATAGCGACATTTGTCCCCTGTGTGTGCGTTTGTCCATTTACATATGCATATATGTATAAGAAACACGCGAAATGCGTGAACCGTGCAAATGCATCGGGTCTTGTAAGAAAATGGAGATGGCGTATATAGGAGGGATAGCCCAGGCTTGATAGGAAGATCGCAAGTGCTTTATAAATGGCGATTCAACAGTTGTGCTCTTTACTTTTTCATCCTTATATCCGCGTACTAAGTAAACGAATTCTCGAGATCGATCACTAGCAATAATGTCGTTGGAAAATGTACGCACAGGTCCTAGTATTAGCTTTTACTAAGTAGATACGGATGGATACTCGAGTATATTCGATTTTGTCACGATGGATTTGTGCACCATTTGTACAACACTCCTGGACTTGCGAACTTTATGTTGCTTTCTTCAAATAGAAAAGCTCGCGTTCTTTTTTTTTTTTTTTTGTTTTTTTCTTTACAAATAAAGCCTATCATTACGTAAGTAGTCGTAAATTTTATTTCCACAAAATTTACAATCGTCTAGCGGTTATAAAAAATGTTTTCTTTACTCTTTTTTCTTCTTCTTCTTCTTCTTCTTCTTCTTCTGCTTTATTTTTTTGTTATTGTTTTTATTTTTCGTACAATTGTTGTAAAAATACCATGCATCTAACGATATAGTATTTCATATTCTTAATGCGGAATATCGCTGCGTACAAGCTAATAAAAACTTTAATGCAATTTTTCAACAATTGAAGGAAAAGCTCGATGCGCAATAGTGATAAATGCATAATAAAGTCTGATAATCCCAACATTCATATTTTTAGCCACTGTCGTGGTCATGGAAAATTTAAACCGGAATAAAATAAAAAATAAACACTTTCGCGGCGAATCACTGCGAGTGCGTGATTTACGGCGCTGCTCTTATTTGCTACGAAAGCTTAGCGAAGCCGACATTAAACTGCTCCATTATTTACAAAGTATATTCAACGTCGGAGAAATAAAGAACATTGATGAGTTTTACTTACTGAATAACTTCCAGACTCTTACAACATCCAGGTTGAAGTGCTGGAGAAGTCCGTACCAATGAAAGAGATGGACGCACAAAACTGCTAATGAACGACCTAAAATAGATAATGATCGTTAGTTTGTCTAATTATTAGCGTTTACATAATTTGTTCATGCAATGTTCCGAGTAGGGGTAGCTAGCTCACAATGTATTATACTCGACCATTTCGTTGTAATTGGGCACATCGAACTTAATTAAAAACAAGTGTACACAAATTTCTAATTTAACGTGCAATTTAATTTTGACATATTGTCCGAGAGATTTTTTTTTCTTTTTGAATTGCGACACGTCGACATACAAATAATCTCATCATAATAACTGGCAATAGTAATTAGCAATTAATCGTAGTAGCTGGTTGAAAAACACGCGGAACAAGGAATAAGCGGCGCGTGAGAGAAATCAGAGGATCAGTGCCTCTGCTACGAGAGCAGTGGGCAAGTTTTCTTACCTCCGGTCGCAGTTTCCAAAGTGAAGGCGTTGAATTTCCAATTGGCCACCCTCTGCAGTACGCACTGTAAATAAGAGAAAGAGAGAGAGAGAGAGAGAGAGCGAGAGAGAGAGAGAGAGAGAAGAGAGAAAGATAAGAGAGAAAGATAAGAGAGAGAAGAGAGAGAGAGAGAGAAGAGAGAGAGAGTGAGAGAGAGAGAGAGAGAGAGAGAGAAAGGAATGGATAGAGACGGTCTTAGTGTTAAGCGTATTTTTGCGCGTCCCGACGGGCGTCGCTTTGGCTCACCTGCACTTGTCCATGGGTGACGTCGTCGAGGAGTCCGGGCTCCTGGTCAAGGGAGCGCGTCACCAGACGTTTGCGCCTACGCTTGTGCATGGTGAGGAAGCGACCCGTGTGCTTGGGCCGGTACCGGCTGACTTCGAATTTCGCCAGAAGAAGCCGCTCGAGCTCGTCCAGGCCGGGACACGCGTCGACCTCGTCGGGCTCGCGGGCGCTCGCTTTCGCCATCAGAGCGTTCGCTTCCTCTGTAATCGGCGCCTCATTAGCCGTCGTTCGTGGATAGAAAAGTGCATGACAAATTGATTTTGCTAGTGGAACAGAGGACGGCGCTCGCCAGATTACGGGCTTATCGTTTTTAACATGCCGATCCGAGAGATTTTCTCAAAGGCGCGTGAAATTTGCGTCTCGACAGCATTTTTACAGGCATCGTCGACTCTTCGCTTTCGTCAAATTTTCGCGAATTGATCGATCGCTGCTTTATGAGCCTCTCGTAAAACCGCAGAGAGATTGAGAGAGATAGAGAGATAGATATTGAGATAGATATTGATATAGATATTGAGATAGAGAGAGAGAGAGAGAGAGAGAGAGAGAGCGAGAGCGAGAGAGAGAGATGATGATTATGACGATGACGATGATGATGATGATGATGATGATGATGATGACGATGACGATGATGATGATGATGATGATGTTGATGATGATGATGATGACGACGACGATGATGATGAATTATTTTACACCTTGGATAAGTGTTGGTAATTCAGAAAGGGAACATTCATTCATTAGGTATGCCCGATAATAATGTGACCTCGTGTATTTTATTTGAAAGATTGGGATTATTAATCATCGACGGCTGAATGTGAATGTGATTTCAATTTCTCTTACTCGCTCAAGTCGCCTTTAACGTGCTGCGCATTAATCACAAGCTAATTCAGCAAGTCCGACTGTCGGACATATAGTTGGTATTAGTTTTTTCTCATAAGGAATCCCGCGCGACGGAGCCCAGGTAAAACCCTTAGCAGCCTCACGATAAAAACATCTACCAACTCAATATTACATTTAGAATAATAAAACTAGGAACAACCCCATCTCTATTTCGCCGTAATGGGCATTAAGCACGTAAAAGTCAAGTATAACTGGATATTCTACCTAGAATTCTACGTGGCGCTCCGCTCTACCTGACATCTCGTAACCGGCGACCCTACTTCCAATTCCTTCATGTCAACGACGAGTAGTTACGCTACTTATGTTCATAAAATTACCGACTGATCTGTCCGTACCGCGATATCGACGATTTCATTGTGATATAAGTAAACGGCGACCGATCACAATATTCACATTTACAAAATTACTCGAATAACAGCGTCTCTTTGCGGGAAATCTCATGTTCGATGATTACGATGGAAAGATAATGATGCGCGCCATTGGCATGATTCAGAGGCTGAATCGTGTAATTGGCAAAAAAACGATTACGATACAGCATCCGTTGATTTTCTTGACATTATGGACTCGCCATGAATTTTTAAAAAAGACATTTTCTGGCTACTCGTCATTTTACATTGCGTATCCTCGAGCGTTTTCACGCCAACAATTTTATTGGCCATCAACATTTAACAATTAGATTGGCACTTTCAAGCACATTTGTACTATTTCGTTAGTTTACGCAGTAACATTTATAAAAATCTGAAAACATTATGCACTTGTACCCCGGACGCTTTATTTGAAAATTGATAAAAACAAAAAAAAAAACAAAACAAAAAAAAAGGAAAAAAATTAGTTAACAGTAGTAAATATTCATAGGTCAGAATTAATCATCTGTAGTGTAATTATAAATACAAACGATAAATAAGATATTTTAATAATGTTATAAGTACGTTTAATATGTTTCAATCAAGATAATTATTTTCCTCTAGTATATCAAGAATATTACTTAAATTATTTAATATTAGTCTTATTAATGGCGCTATGTAAAATAATTGCGATAACACATATACATATATTTTTATCCATATTTATGAAAAATATTTGCACTCACATGTTATATATGTAAATAATACAAAATACAAAAAAAAATTATTTTTTTTTCCTTCAATTTTTTATTTTTATTAATTCAGAGTTTTATAATAAATAATATACGATAGAGTTTAGTCAAATATTATAAAAGATATTTGAAATTATATCAATCAAATAGACAATCAGCGCTTCTATGTACAGTTATTACAAAATATTTTTATTCTTTTTTAAATTATTTGAGAATTAAGTAGAAGCTAATTCAGCACTATTTTGACCTAATTACAAAAATTTTTCATGCCATTTCTCGTATGACGTAATTGCGATGAATGTTAATTATAGTGCAATTTTTCTTTCGTTACATATATATGCATACATACATACATATACATACATATATATATATATATATATATATATATATATATATATATATATATATATATATATATATATATATATTTTTTTTTTTTATTTATTTATTTTATTTTTTCGACAATGATTTATATCGCTTATATTAGAAAAAAACAAATTTGCCTTATAATATTTATGAGTAAGATATAGATGCATTTACCAGTAATTCGCTGTATGAGTGCATTTTGCTCAGTATTATGATCCAACATAATTTCGGAATTTCGTCTCTGTAACAAAATAAGTAAAGGAAAAACATTAAAATTAGATTACAATCGCCAAGAAAATTTATAGTCATTAATATTATATTTCCTTATATGATTATACAATTTCATCAAAGTTTAAATGCCATTTGTTCTGTTATTTTTACGAACACATTATCCATTTAAATTCTAATACGGCATTGGAACATTTTGCTCCCAATAGATTTTTGCAAATATAACTTAATTGAATCGCATTGGAAGAAATAATGCAAATCAGCGTACAAGTATTATTCTATCGGAATGCTAATTATTCAAACAATCATCCGGAATTATTCTTCAAATGGAAATTTTTATTAAAAGCGAATTCGAATCAGCAGTAAATCTCGATAATTGGAAGTTGAAGTATATTTTGGCAGAGATTCAAAAGGACTAATAGACAATTCAGATAGCGTAAGAGCTAATGACTCTTATGGAGTAGGTTAATCTATTTTAAAGTACATAAATTTATTATTGCGCTCTCGAACATTATTCAGGTCTTACCGATTTTGTGCACCTCGAGACGCCGCGATAAGTACTACCATCACTCTAACTACTCTTAAGTCCGAGCGACGTTACAAGACAATGTAATGGAAGAGCTTAAGACTCGTAATTCTGGTGACTACGAGCAATCCTATCAACGTCCACGGCACTTTTCTAAGAGCTTGTAGCTGTGTCTAAGAGAATGTGTCACCGATCCATGAGAAATTATGATATGACGATACGATGGGGTGAGAGTAGGTGGGTGGATTTTTAGAGGAGGACGGGGGTAAGAGAGAGAGAGAGAGAGAGAGAGAGAGAGGGAACGAGAGAGAACGAGAGAGAACGAGAGAGAACGAGAGAGAACGAGAGAGAACGAGAGAGAATGTGTGAGAGGGCGAGAGAGTGAGAAAGAGAGAGGACAGAATTAATGATCCGTTTAACAATGTGCAAAGAGTCTTGAAATAAGAAGGAAAGATACCATAATTGCCCAGGAACTGGAGTTCGTATTGGTCAGTTAAGTTGAGTTATTTTTCACTTAGCCTAATATGCCTATAAATGATTATTAGCATGAAAAGAATGATTTGACTAGATGCGTAATGACCGATTTAAAGTGTGCAAAAGATGCGCGAGCCACAACCCCGGCGTGCTGTCACGTGAGCACAAGTTGGCTAATTTCAACGTGACTTAGGTTTCGTGGCGAAGAGGTGGGAGGGGGTGCGGTATGAGGGATGGTGAGGGGGAGGGGGGTGTAATCGATTTTTTCACAGCCGTCTGGTTGTCGCAACAAATAATATCATTAAATGGATTTGTATTTTCTCTCTTTCCCGGTCAATTGAGTCTAATCGGCTCCACGGCTCTTTAATTGACGTCGCTCTCCTGCAAAGTGTCCCTTACCATCGCCCCACCACCAGTAAGCCGTAAAAATGCTCGTATTGTTCTCGGGAGGGATAGGGAGGCGATAAAATTTTTCAGCCCTCGACTTAATACACAGCCAATACGAAGGCGGACCCGAACTTTGCCCACCGATACCCTTGGGGCCCTTCTTCTCCCCTTCCACCACACTTCTCCCCCAATCATGCTATCGAGAGCAGTGGAAAAGAGGGTTGGCGGCTTGCCTGCCTGCCTGCCTGCCTGCCTGCCGAGAGGAGCAGCTCCTCCTCGACGAATAAGTTACGTCACGGACTTTCGGGTCATGCACTGGAATTCAGGTCGACACTCGCGTCGACTCTTCACATACATTCGCGGTGGCCGCTCTCACTCTCGTTTTCGCCTACCCGCGTATCTCCAAGGAGTTTACCCCCTCCACCACCACACCCCATACCATCCCCCTCCCGTACCCCTCCCATCGCCCAAATACACGCGCGCACGCACGCACGCACACCTCTCCCCATTCCCATGCTCCAATCTCTCGTGCACCCAACAGGCTCCTCGATGTATCGTCCTGCTAAAGTAATGAAGACGTCCGATGAAAGGGGGATGGCTTCGATGCCGCGTGAATGTCCCTCGAATTCGTTAGTCGGCTAGTCCATTTGCATCACGACGCCCCGCAGTTGCTTAAAATCTTTTCTACCGTTGTACGGGAGGGATCGGTGCGGGGCGGGGGCGTAAATCTCTCGACTCGAATGTAGTGTGCCAACGCAGTGGTTCTCATATGGGAGTTAGAGACGCGCGAGCGCGAACCACTCTGAAGCACGCAGTACGCCACGGCTACGATATCCGGAGGCTCGACTTTTTCGCAATACAACGCGCTCCGAGGACAGAGCGACCGACTCTCGATAGCAGCCAATGATAGCCGCGTTCCCTACGGGAGCCCTCTTCCTAAATCTAATCTAATAAATGAGGTCCGGCCGTAATTACACGAGGCCTAATTATCAATGGGCGTTCTTGCCCTCTTAATTACTTCATGCCAACGTATTTACAGCAGCGATGCATTTAATTACTCGGCCATTCATGGAGTATCAAGGTCCTACTGCCGCGATGCCTTTCCTCCTTGTGTCAGCACTCCCGTTACTCTTGGTCTATTAGTTGGTTTAGTATATTGCATAGGGCTGGCCCGGGGATGGTAGCGACCACAACAATCCGTGTAAAATGGAATCAGAGAATGGTATTCGAATACCCGTGGGATGTCAAATTCGAGGTTTGTATTTAAGATAAATGTATAATTCTATCACTTATGGTATTCGTGTCATGGCATGAATTATATGGGGTATAATACTATTCATGGAATATTTTTTGTCTGTCGGTTGAAAATACATAGCTCGCGAGTGGCTACCGTAAATCCGCAAGAAGAATCTCGTCGCTTTAAAAGCTCTTTTTCAGAAAAATCTCTTCATATCCCCTAGGAGACGGTAGTAATAGTAGTAGTAGTAGTAGTAGTAGTAGTAGTAGTAGTGGTGGTAGTAGTGGTGGTAGTAGTGGTGGTGGTAGTGGTAGTGGTAGTAGTAGTAGTAGTAGTAGTAGTAGTAGTATATCACTCATACGTTTCCATTGTTATCGTCCGCGTTATTCGTTTCCGTTGTAATGTTTTTCGTCTTTTGTGCTGCCTACGGTTTTTCTGATATTTCCAAGGAGAAACGTCAGTCCGAAATACATGAATGCGAGATATGCCGCTGTTCTTTAGATTAAATTAATTAATTTATATGCTCAAAACTATATGTATTCTCTCTCTCTCTCTCTCTCTCTCTCGCGCTCTCACTCATATCTCACTCACTCGACTTGACCCACTTTTTTTTATTTACAAACTCACAATAAAAATCCCTTAATCTTTTGTAAGAAAGAAGAAAGGAGAAAAGAGAGAGGAGGACAAAATAAGGAAAAAAAACGACAACGACAACGTCGTTCCCCTAAACGCCAAGAAACTTTTAAATAATAAATAAGAAAGCTATCGCATCGGCATGATTAATTTCATTATTTAATAACCCTAAATGTTTGTAAATATTTTTTTATCGACGTTTAGATCTGAAATAAATACAATGAGAATCAATGTAGAGACAAAAAACCGGATATTTGTTTATTAAATAGCGATTATTTATTGTCTTGAGATCCCATTGAATTTACAAGCATCTTGAAGTAAATTAAGAATTGTGCCCCAGCGACTTATTCCGACAAAGACACGATTTCGAAAGAATAGAGCGTAATCTAAAATCGGGGCTAAAGTATATATAAAAAAAAAAAAAAAAAAAAAAAAAAAAAAAAAAAAAAAAAATATCCGAAACGTTATAAGTGTCTGAACTAAATAGCCCAAAGGTCTCGACGAGGCTCGATCCTGGGCTTCGACGTTATTTTTTCACCAAAAGTCTGGACGCTTCGCGAGCGGATGATGGCCCCCTGACCGCCGATAAATGCCGTTCAACGTTATGTTGTCCCTATCGCTCCCCTATGTATCGTTGGCTAAATAAGAAGGCATCTACGGGCCAATATAGCCCGATCTTTTTCTCCTTTCCCCTCGTTTTTCTCTTCTTCTCCCTCGTGCTTCCAACTCGCTCTCACGGACGGTTTTCTGGCGCGGTTACTAGAACGATCTTATATCCTTTTATGCTTTCCTTCGAAAAGTCCAGGGACATTAATCGATATACTAATACGTATTGCAATATGAAATTAATTAACATGCGAAATGTTCGATCTGACTGCTGGATTGACATTTACCTAAGAATATAAAATATAATGAAGCTGTGCATGAATTTCTCCTTGAATTTGTATATTCGACGAAAGAAAAGGTTGGGCAAAACTTTTGACTATCGAGGGATTAAGGCGATGAAAGTTTTTCGTTCCTTTTCTTAAGCATTTTCGTTCCTATTAATACCGTTAGACTAAAATACAAATAATTGCTAAAAATAATAAGTGCACTATTAATAGTTATAATTATTGTTTTTAATTGGCATGGATATGTAGCCCAGTGTGCATTCACGTACATTCGCGAGTTTCAAAGTTTTTGAAACTTTCACTCGTAACGAAAGCTCGTTTCAATTTCAATTCTATATAGATGAAGTTAAGGCCAACGTATCTACTTCGGATAATATTTCAGTATAAACTTCTTCTTAAAAATATTCACATTAGTTTTACTACCGTTGCTGGAAATCTAGATGATCGATTGCAGCAAAACATTTATTCTGTATTTTCATTTTGACATGGAAGCAACGATTAACAATCAATATGTTAAAAAGTGCCTAATAAATAATTGCTAAATTAATTATTTCATTGGCGTTGCACGTTATACAGCCGTGATAAATAAAAGGTAAGTTTTTATATTAAGATATCTCACGAATTTACCACTTTAATATTCACATTTAATTATAGATGAATGTATGTTTGTCTAATTTGTCTAAATTTTATTATTCGAGAATGATAAATGTATAATGCTATGATGTAAAAAGGCGAAATCGTAAAACACGTTCAGCTGCCAAATTGTTGCTGTTATAGCGTTAAAAAATATCGGGAAAACCGAGGAGTAATCATCTCTTTTCATAAATATCAGTTTAACGATAAAAAAAAATTAAATTACAATTATA